GGGTGGGGGTGGGTGGGGGGTGTCACAGGCTTAGTCTTAGTAACCTGTGACGCTCTGGCCAGCTTCCCACCCAGTTTATTGACGTCACTAGCTGCCAAGAGCTGACTGGGATGCTCTGGCTGGCGTTTCACCCAGCTCTTGGCAAAGAGTGACGTCAGTGAGCTGGGTGGGATGCCGGACAAAGGTACCTTGCACACCCCCCCCCACCATAACATGCACCGTGTTGAGGAACGTTAATATACAGAAAAGTGGAGAGAAGGTAGAATGGCACAGGCATAGGGAAGCAAAGTTTAGTAGTATACTGTCTTTATCAGATATTAAGGTTTACTTACTTAATAAGATCAATTGTTTCAGCAAACATAGTGTAGGCAGGCTTTGGTGCATGGACATCAGCTTCCATAGCAATACCGCACTCAATAAAAAACATGGCAGCATCTAGGTAATTAAATGACTTTCCAATTTTGTCCGACTAACACACAAGTACAAAAGAGATAAATCAATGAAAGAATCAAACAAACAGCTGAAACATATGAGGCTTTAATGTGCGAGTTTACATATATTTTTAAGTACTTTAATGATGTGTTTAGTCAGTGGCAGACAAACTGCAAGGGATTCCTAGGCAAATAAAAACGTTTGCACATCGTATTTAACTTTTATCAGAAATGATGCTTCACATATGTACATACCTTCCTTATGTTATGTTTTCCCTGGAGAAAGTAAAAAAATTCACTTACTTCTGCAATATTTTACACCTACAAGCTCTTCAAGCAAAAGTGCCCATTTTACCTCTGTTCCATGGCAGATTTTAGCATTCACTAATCCATTTGCTGCAGCTGCACATTCAATGGAATCACCAGTAACCAAGCATTGCATTACTACTACTGAATACTGCTAACACTGCTGACATTTTGTACAAGAGAAAGGTTCAGGGTCTGATCAAAGGGAAAGGTTGCAGTGCTCATTATATCTGCTACTGGATCCTTACAAGTCATTCTTTTAGTTAAAATGACATCGTCACCAACTTAAAAAAAAATTCAGGCAGATACAAATATTTTTAATGCTTTCTTGCACTGTTTTCCCTTTACATACATTATTTTTCTTAAATCGTATTCACTTGCAATGTGCATTTGAACCTGCTACAAACATTGATTAGCAATTTCCCTGGCACATATACCTACCTCCATGCACCTCATAGTCCTCTCCTCTTCTGTGAGTGTCTATTTTCTGTGCTGACCCAGCTCTTCTGCCCCTCTCCTATTCTCCCTACATAACTTTTTATGTTGCTGAAAGAAAAGAGGTGAAGGGGGATACTATAGAAAGTCACTTGAGTGACAATTGAGTTTGCTGGGGCTGCTGACATCACATATAAGATGGTAGCACCCAGAAGCAGTCTCAGGGCTTTTGGGTGATGACACAAGAGGTTTTACAGGTAAATAACATGCAAAACAACATGTTAAATACACATATAATCTTATAGGAATTTTTTTGCTGAAAGTAATGGTTTGGCGACAAGATCTTAACATAGTTGATTATATACTCTCATGTGAAGAGCACACTTACAGATAGCTTTTAAGGAAACAGATTTGCAAATGAAGTACGTTTATTTTGCTGAATACATTTTCAGCTATTGGTTGTACTGTTCAAAGTCAAATTATTGATGCTCTTCTAATAAATGAAGCTGTACAAATCTTGTGGAATCTGAAATGTAATTGACTGCTTTAGAACCACCAGGGACTGCAATTTTGGGCTAGGAAGCAAACTGCCCAAATCTCAAACCTCCAAGTGACCCCATGTACTCCTAATATCATAAGGACTGCATTATTAAATGCACAGCAGAAAAGAGGTATGCAGCCCACAACGTTTACAGCAGATAACATCCAGGATTAGGAACGTTTAAATTCCAACCACAGCAATGGAGACTGAAAACCTGTGATAACCCAGAGCAAGTAAACAGTAGTGCAGGGGCTTGGTGCAAACCCAGTTTGTCTGCGTTTTCCCAAACCCATGCAAAACCATCACTGACACACACCCCCTCCAGGCCCAATCATTTTCAGCAGGGGCTTCCCTGCCCCATTGTGATGGAATGTCCCTGTCGCAAGTGACTGTGTTTACTCAAGCCTCAGAACAACCCTAGTTAACAGCACAAATATCTTCTAACAAGTATTTATTATACTGTCCGACTTCCAAATGCTGCAGTTGGTAGATGAATGATATGGCAGCCATGGAGTGCACCGCTTAATGCAAAGTATTATATAAGAGAAGCGCTAAGGCAACTTTGTTGGTTCTTGTAACATATCATAATTCTGAGCAAATGATGGCAATTGCTCCTGAGAAAACCCTCTAGCAGCATTTCTTGGTTTGGTGAAATTATTTGATTAGAATATAACATAATAATATCAGCAATTTGTCACTCTGCTAGCATGGCTTTTATCAGAGCATTTCTTTATTTATGAAACCGTACTTCTAGAACAGCATTTTGACATTGGCCTAACTTTGACTTTTGCCCAGGGCCTTTTTATTTTATTTGTTTTTATACCACTTGGCCAGCTCTTTGAGCCAAGTATTAAAAAGGCCCATGCACTGTGACAAGAGTACAAGCCTGTGAAGTGTTAAAAACCATCACTGGCATATTAATGTATAGCGAAGAGTTCCTGCTGGGGAGTAGTTCTTCATCCTCACAGGAATGTAAACAATAAAAACAGGCAGCCTGCCAGGGAACATATGGCAAACTCTCTCTACATAACACAACAGCTTTCAGAAGTTGAAACAGAAACATACGAGCTGAGGAAAGTTCATGTTAAAGAGAGCTCCTTAATCCATATTTTAACACTGATGACTTGTCTAAGAATTCAACTGACTACCATGACGGTTATGGGATGCTGCTGCTTTGGCACCTTTAGTCTTGCTGTATCGGTTCACTGCAAGGGACATTTTACGGAATGTGTACAAAATGGGGGACTGTTTAAATTACTTCAGGCTCTCTAAGTCAGGGGTAGTAAGGAGATAACCTAGCATGTCAACATTAAAATGTAAGGAAGTTTTGAAGAAAAATATATTATACATGTCTGTAAAAATCTAAACATATCCTAACGTTTTAGTCTTCGTAACAAACTTGGCATTCACTTTCATTCACAATTTTTTTTCTATCAGGAGAGCAATTAATCAACTTAAGTCAGATGCCAGTGTTATGTAGAGTGCATGGGTCAGGAGTGTGTAGTGTACAAAGTGCAGGAGTCAGAAGTATGTCGTGTATAAAGTGCAGAGATACAGGCGTGTGTAGCATACAGAGTGCAGAGGACAGAAACATGTAAAGAAAAACATGCAAGGGTCAAAGAGTGCAGGGGCAGTAATAAAAGTGACATACAGCCCAGGAAAGTGCAGGGGTGTGGAATATGAATCATACATTAGTGCAGAGGTCAGAAGTAAATACACCCTAGTGCACAGCACCACCTATAATTCACTCCAGCCCCTTTATTCAAAGCATACCAGTACCCTCATAAGGCATTTTGACAGCCCACACACCCACAAACATACATGCATGCACCCAATCTTGCTTTGTAAACACAACACAGGGACCAGGGACTCTGGGTGACATAATTGACTAAATGTAGACATGACAGCATGTTGTGCAGCTACTGCACCAGATAAAACATGGGTGGTAGTGGTGTCAGCACCTGGGGCACCAGGCAAGAGATGCAATGAATGTGTTCCAGGTGCAAAAACCAGTAACTCCCATGATGGGGGGGTTGCAATCAAACCATTACATGCCTGCGATCGATGGGTAGATTGAAACCGACCTGTTGCAACCCCCACTTTAAGTAAATGTCAACGCCTACTCAGCATACAATGGCTTATTAACCCTTACAAGGATGGTGCCACCTGCTATACTAGAGAGTTGAGATGCTTGTTGTTAGGTATTCAAATTTGTATACGGATACCAGCTCCTCATGTCTTTACCATATAGTATGCCATGTATAATAAAAAATATAGTATGCCATGTATAATAAAAAATATATATAAACTCATGCATTTTTTATAGGTTTCTTTAACCCAAAAGTTCAAAGAAAGACTTGCAACACGAAACAGCATAAAACAAACTTACCATGGCATCAGCTTTGTGTTTTAGCTTCTTGGCTTCCTTCATGTAATGTTCTGGTGAATGTAACCTAAGTGAAGAACAGACATTTAATTATAAGCACTTCTCACTGGCTCCAGGATCCATTAAAGGAAGACAGGTAGGCATGTGTAAGCAAAGTATACTGAGAAATAAGAATACAACAGACATACTTTTCTTCAAACTTCAGCTGAGGTCTTGTTGGCTTGGCAGTACCATTTGGCAAAGAAGGCACTGGGAAAGGATTTGTGTTATTTTCTGTAGAAACCTGGAAATTTTTATAAAGAATTTAGTCCATAACCGATATGGAAATCTACTAAAGCCAATAGCTATACAATAATTTGCTCAAAACTATATACAAATAAAAGCCTAATTTAAAAAAGGTAAATATATTTAATAGAAAATACTAATGCAGAACAGAAGTAGCTCTTAAAACATTTACACTACTGTAAATTATGTGCAACTCTGTTACACATTTACAACTTAATATACCATTATAGCTGCATGCTTTCTTTGCACCGATAGCTAATGTGGAAGAATAGACAAGCTTGTCTATCAAAAGCCAATGTTACTTTAGGAAAGTAGGCGCTAGTCACCCATCGGTTTCTTATTTCTAGTAAACACGATAAGAACTCCTTTTTAACACCCCTTCCTATGTTTTATAATAGTAAACATGGCCCTACACTATGGCACTGTCTGCCACACATCTGCTGGGTTGACAAAAGCAACTCCTTCGCTCACTGCTGATACGGAGCGGTTAATTTACTAAACGATTGGAGGATGTTCACTCTGCAATGTGAATGTTAATATAAATGGACATGCGCTCGTTATGAATACCCAATCATGTGAGGTTAATTAGGAAAAAAAATAAAAAATCAGGAGGATTTTTGCTACAGCAATAAATTTTTTGCCAGAACAGGATTGGTTGATAGTGAACACAGCTTCACCTTACTCAGTTAGCATTAACTTCCCTAAGTGAACAACGTCTACCCCTTTAGTAAATCAACCCTAAGATATCTGCATTACGTAAAAGTGCAGCAACAGGTTACAATTCCAAATAATGCACCTGCACGGAGGACTGTGGAGAAGATTCTCTTGTAAAGACCTCCAAAATCTATATCCAATAAGCTACAGGAACTACAGTTTCATTCAAATGTCCACTTGGTGCTAGAAAGGCCCATGTTGTTAAGGTAGTCATCTGCTCTTCAGGATAAATATGCCACACAAGTGAGCTCCTAATCTCCTTTCCCACCCCAAAGCCTTGGATGCTCCATAACCTGTCCTTTGGGACAGAAATGTCCGAATATCCGGAGGGTACTTGAAGCTGATTTGCTACAAGCACCGTGCGGCCAACAATTCTCCAATATGTTCTTTCGACACAAATTAATCTAATGATCAACTTCTATTGAGAGGATAGCATCACCAAGGTTCGAATTTCAGCCGAGCCATGCTGAATCAGCCAATTTTCACTGGCAAAAAAAACAGTCTAAACCCTCAGTGCATTAGCTTGCACCAGAATCAGATTTGTTTACACTGGATTTAGAGGACATGCAGGCTTTTGCAAAGTAGGAAGTACAAAGTCTATATGCCAAAGAACGTAGCCCAAAGGAGTCGCTCAAAATCCATCTTTTACTGACCTAATGAAACTGTAACCAGAGAGTGATGTGGGTTACCACACGTTAGGCCCCATTCACGCTGAGGGGAAAATCCCGCGATACCCGCCACGATATCGTGCATTTGTGCCGCGCAATATCGCGAGAAGTCGCCAGCCAATGAGTTTCAATGGAGCTGTCTTAATGTAAAGCTCCATGTCGCCCGTCGCAAATCGCGCCTGCAGGACCCTTTTTCCCGCGGATGTCGCGCAAATTTCCATTTTTTTAAAATGCAGCCCGACGGTGAAGATCGTCGCTGGAACGTCGCCCGAACTGTCGCACTCTCCCGCCGCGCGGAAATCCGCTCGAGGTAAGTGTTGCTTAGTGTTAATGGGGCCTTATAGTGCATTTGGAGATCAACCTTTTAAGCCTATCAATTTTCATGTAACAGAGCTCGCAGAAACTTTATACTGGGATAGTCAGGCTGTTATACAGCGTGACAATGTATATGTTACAAAATATAGTGGCCATATGAGCATAGGGAACATTCTGTTTTGCTCCACGAATGGTTGCGAAACAGAAATTCACTTCTTTTCTACTAACTGTAAAATCCATGTAGAGAAGCCAGTAAAAGTTTAAACAAGTGTAAAACTAGCGCCAATTTAGAAAAAAAGAAATGTACATTTGTGTGGCATCCCTTACCGGCTAAAACCTAACTTCAGTGTATGCCTATGAACTTACACAACTAAGCTGGAAAAAAGAAAAATGAACATTTGACTAATTTGCATTGTTCCATTTTGACCTTACCACAGATAGTGCTCCATGTTTCTGCACCGAGAAAGAATTAATAATAGTTTTGCTAAGCACAGCAGATCACGCACTCGGTCATCCAAGCTTTACAGAACAATCCACTCAAACTATTTTGAACATTTATACAGAGACCAAAGCAACGCAGCATTTTGTCCTGTCATCCACAGATGTACATTTCGTTCTGCCAACGTCAGCGAATATACACCAGATGGTATTTGCTGCTGCAGAGAACCACAGAGATGGCTGAGGGAGATTAGAGAGGACTCTCAACCAGCGAACATACCTTGCTGCTGTGTGTGTGTTCGCTACTCGTTTCCTCCACCTTTCTTTGTTTGGGAGTGGTAGGTTCTTTGCCGCTGCTTTTATTGCTCTTTGAGGTGGATTGCTGCCTGGAAGGGCTGCTCTCATTAGGACGTCTCTTGTGTGCCATCTTCTCAGGTTTTTTGTGCTGCGTTGGAGATGAGGCTTTCTGATGTCGGTGTTCTTTATGAGAGGTCTCAGAAGACATTTTAGGCACCCTGGACAAAAGCAAATGCAGCATATTACCTTTGTGCAGAAAAAACTTTCAAAACCCAATCATTTGTCTACACTTGGAAACCTGAGATGATGATTATTTAGCTTAATGGAAGAACGGACTTTCTGAAACTTTCACTAAATATTTAAAAATGAATTGATATGCACAATCCTGATCAACCACAGCATACTTTTATACTTGTTTAATTTTACTCACTGATGTTAGAAAACCATCACTGGAACAAGAGCCAAATTAACACAATGGCAAAGTTCAAGCAACAATTATTCCTGAACCTAAGAAAACATCCAGCCCTGTAAGGTCTTGTTCGCACTGGCTTCAGCTTGTTTTAGCCTTTAACCCTTTCCCTGCCCAGCCCTGGTCTCCACTTTTAACCTCAGCTGGCCAGACATTTTTCACTTTGTTTTATCCAACTACAGCTTTGAGAGTTTGTAAAAGACCCACCAAATCATACCTTTTCTGAAAGCACAGGGCCAGTACAATAAAAAGATGATGCTGCCGATTATGTACATCCCATGGCAGTTGTTCAAATGTTAAAGTCATTATCAGCACACAAAACAACATAACACAATTTCAACTAAATCTAACGGATAAAGCTGTATTGAGGTAATAAATAAATATTTGTCCATTTTAAAGTGCACTTTTAGTGCGAAACAGTTTAAATTACACACAAAATCGTAAATAAGCAAATGATGCTAAAAATCTGGAGTTTAGCCTCACATTTATGTGTTGTGGTAACATACGATCAGCATTGCAGCTTGTGTTTTGCATTGCGATAAAATGATGCTGGCATGCATTCTATTGCAAAGTATTGTGTCACAATGCACAGCAATGAAGTACTGCAATGTGTTGCAACAACACACTGGTGTGTGTGTGTGGGGGGGGCGGGGGTGCTTTTAGGTGGTGTTATTTCTACCTATTTTTTTTTTTTTTACATTACTGTCAGGGGCTAAAGAGACCTCTTCTATTTCCTTTTTGAGACAGAAATTTCAGAAGACAGAATTTCCTTCTCCTCTACAGCCCCTGCACTAGTGAACAGGAAGTGCTCAGTACAAAGCCTCTTCTGTCCATTTATCAACTGAGAACATAGTAAATGTTTACCATCTCCTCAGTTATGGGCACTGGAGAAATCAGTACTAATCATGCCGGTGTTCAGTCAGGAAAGTAAAGGATCAGTAAATGACACATTTATCAGCTATTGGCTTATAGCAGAAGTGTGACCGCAACAGACATAAGGCATATTAACATGGCCAGCTGGAAGTGGTACTGTTCACCCATATGACTTGCACTGGCAGTGAAAGGGTTACAGAACTCAGTTCCAGTTTTGGACAGGTTAAACACAGCTCCTAATAGAGGTGCTGACGAACACTTTGACCCTTTTGCTGCCAGAACAGTTGTTGCCTTTTTTTGCACACGTTATAATCCACATTTTAGGCCCGATAACCTCTCTGGCGGTATGATTTTTTATTTTTTCGTTCTATGTGCTTTCGTTTTTTGTTACTTTTGAATCTCCCGCCGGTTCCGCCTCCCCCCCTCCCTGCGACGCGGACGCTTCCAAGGGACGGAACCCGGAAGACGAGTGCCGGCATCGGCCGGAGGACACAACGCGGCTCGAGGGACAAGGTAAGAGACGTGCTGTGTATTCCCGTGTGTGGCTCGGGGGTTACCGCTTATGGTACAGAAAATTAACCCCGAGCCACTCTCGGGAATACCGCCAAGAAGGTTAAAACCCCCCAGAATTATATATTCTTTTAAGGCCGGTTCACACCACAAACAGTGCGTTCCAGAGCGGTCAGGCTCGGGAACGCAATCCAGCCAGCTACCTGCGTTTAGGGGCAGGAAGGGGCACTGAAGTCAATGGCACTGCAGCCATGCCCCCCGCCCCAGTGCGATCACCTGCACCCGATTGCGTGGCACATTAGTGCCTGCGTTCTGGTCCAGTGCAATCAGCAAAAATGCTGCAAGCACTATTTTCGCAGATGACACTGGACCGAAACACAGGCACTAATGTGCCTTACGTTCGGGTGCTGGCGAGGCACCTCTGAACGTAGGGAGCCGGACGGCGTGCGATACAGTGCGTTCCAGAGCCTGACCACTCTGGAACGCACAGTTTGTGGTAAGAACCGGCCCTAAAACAGAGAACCTGTAGAATAAAATTATGGCACTTGCAAATTTTTATGGCACAAGATATTACAGCAACTCTTTACCAAACCCAAAATGCCAGCAAAAAATGCACTAAGTGAATTATATAATAATCAATGTTTTTGAAATGAATAAAAAGATTAAGTTGTGCCAAGTAAATAGATACCCAACATGCCAAGCTTAAAAGTTGTGTGCAAATGTGAAAAACCGTAAAATCCCAAATTGTCCATGAGCTACACTTTAACAGCCTGAGAGTTAGTGACATTAAACCCTCAGATTTTTGAACATAAAACAATACTGTAATGTGTGCCTTACTGTAATCCATGGTTGTTTCCCTTCTCTTTGCTGCTCTTCCTTTTAAATCTGTATCTGTTCTCATGCTGGGCAGAACTTCTGTTTTGCAGCAGACTGCCTTGTCTCAGGAATGGATATATGGTGTCTGTGTATAGGTTTGTATAGGTTTGTAACCTGAGCCAGCACTACAGGAAGAGGCAGTCAGCTGCAAAGGGAAGTTCTCCCCAAGCATGAGAAGACATGAGGATTTAAAAGTAAGAGAAGGGAAACTACCATGGATTACAGTAAGGCACACATTACAGTATTGGTTTATGTTAAACAATCTGAGGGTTTAATGTCACTTTAACCATGAATATTGGCCCTAGAATTATTGCTCTCACTCAATGATAGATGCCTAATGTCTTCTCTGCGGCCCATTGAAGCTGATCAAGCACAGATCGTGTTTCATCAGCTTCTTTCACCGGGAATGACAACTCAGAAACCAGAAGTGATGTAATCAACATTTGTTCCAGTTCCATTCAGTGGGGAGGAGATCAGCGATTGGATGTTCAAGGTCTCTCTCCTCTGGGCCCCCTGACACAAGCGATGCTAGTCCCAGGCCCACAAGAGGGAAAGGGGAGTCCGGGAAGCAAGGGGAGGGGTGTCAGGCGGGCGTGACACACATTCACCAGCCCAGGGAAGAGATCAGGCGGCTCTGCAACTGCCCCAATTGCTTCAAGTGTAATAGTGACAGTAAGCTTTACACAGGTAAACAGACTCCTGGCGGCATACATCGATGACAGCAAAAGGGCTAAACAAGCTACTAGCAGACCTAAATCTTATTAAAGCCTGACTGCAGCTTGTTGAAAGAGACAGCGCTGGCAATAAAGTCTGTATTTTAACATTTCCAAACGAGAGCTGAAAAATACTTTGGGGGTTTACCAAAACTTTCTGAAAGCTCTGCAAATGCGTTGCAAAAGCTTGCTGTACACACTGCTCTTATATAAGCTGAAGCCCGAGTGAACAAGGCCTCACTGTTCTGATTTTTTTAACAGCAAAACACCAACACCAGTACCACAACAAAACAAGGATAGGAAAAATACCACAAAATATAAAACACTAGAGCATATATCTTTCTGGGTGCCATGGTGTGCGCACATCCACTTGCCTTGTCCAGTTTTAAAGAAATAAGAAATATACACCACTGTGCCAAAGTTTTAGGCAAGTGTGAAAAAAATGCTGTAAAGTAATGTTTTCACAAATATATAATTTTTCTTGTATAGTTTTATCAATTCACAAAATGCAAAGTGAGTGAAGAAAAAACTAAATCGAATAAAAATTTGGTGTGACTACCCTTTGTGCAAGTGGTAGAATTGATGCTGGTTTGAAGCCAAAGTCAGGGATTTTATAGGATTAGAGTCAGGTGTATGAGTAACCAATTATACCAAACAGGTGCTAATGATCATCAAATCTCATACGTAGGTTGAAACACAGTCATTAAAAGGAGAACTATGAGGTGAGTGCTTTTCACTCACCTCATAGTTCTAGCCGACCTGCGACAATGAGGCTGTCACAGGTCGGCTCAGTAGATCGGGAGGTGAGCGAACACATACCGGCGTCCGCTCACCTCTCGATCCTGTCACGGCTCTCTGCCGTGACAGGGGAGGGGCTGGATTCCCCCCTCCCCGCCAGCGCTGACTTGCGGAACGGACGGGGAGGGGGCGGGTACAGCTGGCTCTGTCTCTAGATAGGCAGAGCCAGCTGTCAGTCACGCGCTGGGCAGATCCCGGCATAATTGTCGGGATCCGCTTCAGCATCTCAGTATACCGCGAGCAGCAGCTCGCGGTATACTGAGCTTAGGGTGACGGGAGGACGCTAGTTTGTGTCCTCCCGTTACCCTAAGGAGAACTATGGGGAAACGCCTTAACCCCATAGTTCTCCTTTAACTGAAACAGCTTTGTAGGAGGCTTAAAACTGGGTGAGGAACAGCCAAACTCTGCTACTAAGGTGAGGTTGTGGAAGACCATTTCATGTCACAGGTCATACACCATGGCAAGACTGAGCACAGCAACAAGACACAAGGTAGTTATACTGCATCAGCAAGGTCTCTACCGGGCAAAGATTTCAAAGCAGACTGGAGTTTCAAGATGTGCTGTTCAAGCTCGTTTGAAGAAGCACAATGAAACTGGCAACTTCGAGAACCGTAGACGCAGTAGTCGGCCAAGGAAACAATGCAGCAGATGAAAGACATCATGCTTACTTTACTTCCCTTTGACATTGGAAGATGTCCAGCACTGCAATCAGCACCAAACTGGCCGAAACCAGTGGGACCCAGGTACTCCCATTTACTGTCTAGAGAAGTCTGGCCAGTAAAGGAATGCCCAACTGCAATTCATTAACCATTTAATGAACCAATGGTGCTTTCACTAAAGCAATAAAGTGTTTATTCCATCGGCAGTATAGTGATACTAACACATAAGGCATGCACATACCGAGAGTCTCAACTATCTCCTGAACCATATTCTTTTACCAAAGCAGAAATTGGTTCATTTCAGAGACAGTATGGTAATACCAACATAATGTATGCACATACAAAGGGCCCTAACCATCTCCTGCACCATATTCTTGTACTAAAGCAGTAACTGGTTCATTTCAGAGACAGTAGGCAATTCTAACATAAGGCATGCACATACCAAGGGTCCTAACCATCTCCTGAACCAAAATTATTTTACTAAAGCAAATAAATTGGTTATCTCAACGGTAGTATAGTAATACCAATAAACAAGGTATGCGCAACCACTGAGATTCATAACTACCCCATGTACCTGTGATGCTTTCACTAAAAGCAGTAAATGGGTCATCATAGAGACAGCATAGTAGCACCAATACATAAATTATGCCCGATTGAGGTTCATTAACCACTTCATGAACAAATGGTACTTTTCCTAAAACAATGAAGTGTTTATTCTAGCAACAGTATAGTGATACCAACACAAGGTATGCGCAACATTAAGTTCCATAACTACCTCATGAACCAAAGATGCTTTTACTAAAGCAATAAATTGGTTATTTTGAAAACAGTACAATAATACCAATACATAAGGTATGCACACTACATTACCACCCAGTCAAGTCTCTCCTTAAAGAGGTAAATGGGATAGTTTGCAGACAGTAGTCATACAAGCGCTTACAGGTGCTTGTCTACCAATACATGCATCAAGCTGTGCAAGAGATGTGTCCGCATATGGCAAGGGACGCTGCATGCCCCTTCACTTAGCCAGTAAATGCTTATACACACATAGCGTCTATCCAGGCGAGATAAAGTTGTAGCAATTCAGCTAAAGAGGCCTCGTCATGGACTTCGAAGGTGCTGTACACTCTGAGATGCACAAGTAACCCAAAGGTTGCAACCAGAGTAATCAGTAAAAAGGCCCCACACCTGTGAGGCAGACACACCTAGGCCGATACAATTAATGGATCAGCTCAGCCTGGTAGCAGTTGTAGACTGGAAGAAAATAATCCTCACCATGAAAAGATAGATGCTGGCTCTTATACAGAGAGGCAGACCTAACCATATAGGAGAGAGTAAAGTCTCATAAAAGCTTTAGCGGACGTTCATATCTGCCAAGGAAGTAAAGCCTTGAAGATAAAGTAACCTCATCCAGCATCTACCCTTCTGTTGGATTTGCATCTTTATCCATGCTCTAACAGGCAAGTAAAGGGAAGTTCACCTAATTAGGGCTGAAGGAACAATCCCCAGCCCCCGCTCAGGTGAGAGCAATCATAGCTCTCCATCTTGTGAGCTCACACCCAGCCAGGTGGTAAATCAGAGTTGCTAACAGCAACAAAAAAACTTTTTAGCCCTGATGCACAATATGTCTGCAGCACTATCAAGTTTGAACCATCTGGAAACAACCAGAGTATGCACCTAAAGTGCTTATGGACACACCAATGCTTATTTGCAAAAGGAGTCTGTAAAACATTTGCTACCGGCCTAGGTTTGCCTTGCTTACACAGATAGGCTGTTGCCTATGACCCAAAGGCCTGATGAAAGTACAAAAAACCATCCTTGGCTGATAACACTCCTTATATATGCTCTAACACAAAAAGAAGGTTGCCAAAGCGTGAAATTGGGGAAAATCCCAATATTCCTGCGTAACACTAACCACAGCAGTGTAGGAAGGAGTAATTAGGTTGCCTATTGTCTGGGGTTGCTGCTTGCAGATTGAAAAGGTGTTTGCACTGCAGCTCATGCCTCCAACTAGCCACATCCCTAGTGGAACAACATATAACACATATGAACGTGCGTTAATAAGAGGCACTACAACCCTTAGCAACCAACACCCAAAAAGGAGGATCGCCTCCCAAGGCCCCCCCCCACTTCATGTTCATGACTGCTTGTGGCTCCATCCCTCACACGCTGCACTCCCTCCCTGGTGTCTGTGGATGCTGGCGCCAGCGGTACTCACCAATCCATCGCATAGCTGTCCATTCAAGGAGGCGCTGGATGCAACAAGATATGAATATCCACAACATGACAGCATTCATAAGGAGCATGGATGGCAAACCGCCCCATTCAAGGCAAGGCAGAGGAGAACTATGAGCCGAACCAAATGTAAGGGAAAGCTCTGCTAGAGCCGATATGCACCCGGGGATGGTTGCTTTTCCTCAAGGCGGATAAGAAACCTCAGGGATAGATGGGGAGGCAGGTCCCATAATAGGATAACCTGGAGGTTAATCCTAGGACAAGCCCAGGCATTCAACCCCCCAGGTCCACTGTCCCTGATTTACGGGGAGCACACACTGGGAGGCCCCTGCAACTAGCACGCAGGCCTATGGAGAAAATAACAAACGGTTACGATGCTCCTGTTGGGCCGGAGGAAACACAAACTAAGGTGGTGGGGCTGTACCGCCCCTTTTAGGCTGTACCACCCCTTTTATTTAAATTGTGGATGATGCGTTTCCTGTTTTAGGTGGGTGGATTCTCTCTCGCAGGTGCTGCCCTGAAAGATGACTTGGGAAAATGGCATCAGGTGCTCTGGACTGATGAGTCAAAGTTTGAAATATTTGGCTGTTTCAGGAGTCAGTCTGTTCGCCAAAGGGCTGGACAGCAGTACAATAATGAGTGCCTGCAGCAACAGTGAAGCACGGTGGAGGTTCCTTGCAAGTCTGGGGCTGCATTTCTGCCAATGGGGTTGGAGATTTGATCAGGATCAATGGTGTCCTCAGTGCTGAGAAATACAAGCAGATGCTTCTCCATCATGCCATACCATCAGGGAGGAGTATGATTGGCCCCATATTTATTCTGCAGCAGGACAATGACCCCAAACATACAGCCAATGTCATTAAGAACTATCGTCTGCGTAAAGAACCTGGAAGTGATGATTCAGCCCCCACAGAGCCCTAATCTCAACATCGAGTCTGTCTGGGATTACATAGAGACAGAAGGATGTGAGGAAGCCTACATCTACAGAAGATCTGTGGTTAGTTCTTCGAGATGTTTGGAACAACCTACCTGCGTACCTACCTTGAGTTCCTTCAAAAACTGTGTGCAAGTCTACCTGGAAGAATTGATGCCATCTTAAAAGGCAGAAGGGTGGTCACGCCAAATTTTGATTTGATTTGGATTCCATTGTGTTAATTGATAAACTATAAAACACTTATTTCTGAAAGCATTCTTAGGCCTGGTTCACACCTGAACATTTTGTAGCACGTTCAACGCTCGACGAACGTTCTACAAACGCTCAAACATCTAAATCCCATTGTATTCAATGGGTCTGGTTCACACCTTGCCGTATTTCCGCCCGTCCGAACGCGATACAAAAACGGCCTACGCCCAAAGAAGTACATGTACTTCCTTGGGGCGTTTTGGTCTCGCGTTTCCATTGGGATACAGCCAAGTAGCCCACGGAAACGCGCGTTTTTTTACAGCGAATCGCGGTAACACCTGCCTAAAACGTACTTTTTTTTTTTTTTACTTATACATACTTTTTCACCGATTCCTTGTGACTAGAAGCAGCCTTTGCATCATTATCCAACTTAATTTTCTTTTGTGTTTCAAGTGATCCGTCCTTTTTCTCTCTTTCATCAACCTAGCAATAAGCAAAGAAAAAAATAAGTTTAAGCAAGGAATTAGTTTTCAAAATAGCAAGAACTCAAGCTGTGTTAAGCAGAACATTTTGAAAGGTCTCCAACTAACCACCATATGCAAAGTAGCAAAATATACCCCTATAAACCAGAGCCATTTTTACATTTATGCTATGAGCTTATTTATCCAGCTATAACTTGTGACTACCGAAGATAACACAGTAATACATATATCGTTTCTACAAGACAAACAGGGCTTTCTTTTGGTAATACCATCCAGCAAAAACCATCTTTGCAATCTATAGATAAAATAAGTAATCACTTTTTTTTTTTTTTTAAACGTGTTATTATAGCTATAAAGTGTACATTTTACTGTATTACTGTCCCATTTATAAATCACACCAAAATTCGTTTTTTTTGCTGCAAAGAATTGAATGTTATTTACAAATTAATTAAATAAATGTGCATTTGTTTTTCAATAATGTATAGTTTTAAAATGCACTAAAAAAAAAAAAGTAAAAAATTGAAAGAAAACAAAAAAAAAAGCTTAAACAGATTTAACCACTTACTGACCAGGTGTTTACACCCCCTTCCTGGCAAGGCCATTTTTCAGTATTCAGCGCTGCGGTACTTTGACATTTATTCGGTCATGCAATGCTGTACTAAAAAGAATTTTACACCATTTTTTGGGGACAGATGGAGCTTTCTTTTGGTGGTATTTAATCACCACTGCGGTTTTTATTTTTTGCTATATTAAAAAGGAGGAGAACTATGGGGTCAGGGCTTTTCCCCATAGTTCTCCTCCCGTCACCCTAGGCTCAGTATACCGCGAGCTACAGCTTGCGGTATACCGAGACGCCGGAGCGGATCCCGACATCGATGTTGAGATCCGCCCAGCTGCGTGAGTGAAAGCTGGCTCTGCCTATCTGGAGGCAGAGCCAGCTGTACCCGCCCCCTCCCCCGTCCGTTCCGCCAGTCAGCGCTGGCGGATCGGAGCGCGGAGAGGGGAATCCAGCCCAGGATCGAGAGGTGAGCGAACCCGGTATGTGTTCGCTCACCTCCCGATCTACTGAGCCGACCTGTGACAGTCTTATTGTCACAGGTCCGCTAGAACTATGAGGTGAGTGGAAAGCACTCACCTCATTGTTCTCCTTTAAGGAAAAATTACTGAAAATTTTGAAAAAAAAAGTTCATTACGTTATGAAACATTTATTATTACCCAATTAATTGGTAAAATATAAAAGACTGGGTCAATTCGGGTAAACACCAAGCTTTAAAATGAATGGCCCTAGAATTATTGCTCTTACTGCGACGTTCGTGGCGATATGTGCACCCGACACATGTTTGCTTGCGTGTATGTATGGGTGGGGACTTAAAAAAGAATTTTAAAAAACTATTTTTTTTAATGTGTAACTATGAATTTTTTGGGGGAAACTAACTTTTTTTATTGCCATCACATGTGATAGCAAAGAGGATGTGACAGGTCCTCTTTATGGAGACATCAGGGGTCTCCAAGACCCCTATGGAGAGTGACACAAGTATGCGGAAGTGATGTAATATACAACACTTGCGCATTCTGACAACGGAAAGGGGACGATCTCCCTCTGATCCCGTCACAGAGCCACTATGCTGGTCCCGGGCTTGCACCGGGAGGGGGGGCACACACACGGACCAACACCTTATACAAGCGATTCACCGGATCTATAGCCGATGGATCACTTGCATGTTAACAGGCATTGCTGCCAGTTTTAAAATTTTGGGACTTTCCCACACGCGCGAGTGGAGCATGGAGATGTCTCCTCTGGGTCTAAAATAAGGTTTGTATTAAAAACAGAATAATAATAATTAGGGATTAACCGATATATCGCCCGTCGAAACATATCGGCCGAAAATCACGAAAGTGCCATTTTCCCGCCGATACATCGGCGCATCCCTGCTTTCTTTCCTCCCCGCTGGACGCTGCTCTGTGTCCCAGCGGGGAGGTGAGAAAGTGACAGCCGGCCGAGCGCTGCGAGAGGAGAGCGCTGTGAGCGGCCCGGTGTCCCTCCTCTCACGCTGCTCGTCCGCCTATCACAGTGCGGCAGAGCAGTGTGGGGGCGGAGACAGTGCTGTCACAGGAGGCTGGGCTCTCCTCTCGCACCGCTCACTCAGCCTCCTGTGACAGTGTGTGTCAGAGAGGAGAGCGGGTACAAACACTCAGCGATCAGAAGTTGGTAGCCGACTACAAGATCAACCTTTTCCCACACAGAAGTTCTTTGCATGGCTGGTTTACTACTCACATATTTTTTCGCCTAATTATTTAGAATTAATAGGGTTTCCCTTGGTTCAGTGTTCTGAAGCTAAAGAATTGCAACACACAGCAGAGGAGGTTTATCAGAAATGCAGCACACACACACTATATTACCAAAAGTATTGAGACACCCTCCAAATCACTGGATTCAGCTATTCCGTGAAATTTCCTTGCTATTAAATATTCCACGGTCACCTGTTCGTGGCTGAGTTGCTATTGTTCCCAGTTGCTTCCACTTTATTATAATACCACTAAGTGGTAGGCCACGTAAAAAGACAGAGCGGGGTCAGCGCATGCTGAAGTGCACAGAAGTCGCCAACTGTTTGCAGAGACAATAGCTACAGACCTCCAAACTTCGTGTGGCCTTCAGATTGGCACAATAACAGTGCGTAGAGAGCTTCATGGAATGGGTTTCCATGGCCGAACAGCTGCAACCAAGCCTTGCATCACCAAGTGCAATGTAAAGCGTCGGATGCAGTGGTGTAAAGCATGCCGCCACTGGACTCTAGAGAAGTGGAGTGACAAATCACGCTTCCCTATCTAGCAATCCGATGGACATGTCTGGGTTTAGCGGTTGCCAGGAGAACGGTAGTTGCCTGACTGCATTGTGCAAAGTGTAAAGTTTGGTGGAGGGGGGATTATGGTGTAGGGCAGTTTTTCAGGGGTTGGGCTTGGCCCCTTAGTTCCAGTGAAGGGAACTCTTAAGGCATCAGCATACCAAGACATTTTGGACAATTCTATGGTCCCAACTTTATGGGAACAGTTTGGGGATGGCCCCTTCCTGTTCCAACATGACTGCGTACCAGTGCACAAAGCAAGGTCCATAAAGACATGGATGAGCGATTTTGGGGTGGAGGAACTTGACTGGCCTGCACAGAGTCCTGACCTCAACCCGATAGAACACCTTTGGGATGAATTAGAGCGGAGACTGCGAGCCAGGCCTTCTCGTCCGACATCAGAACCTAACCTCACAAATGCGCTTCTGGAAGTATGGTCAAACATTCCCATAGACACACTCCTAAATCTTGTGGACAGCCTTCCCAGAAGAGTTGAAGCTGTTATAGCGGCAAAGGGTGGGCCAACTCTATATTGAACCCTACAGACTAAGACTGGGATGACATAAAGTTCATGTGCGTGTAAAGGCAGGCGTCCCAATATTTTTGGCAATATAGTGTATATATCTATAGCTGTAGATATCTATAACTATAGATATCTACAGCTATAGATATATACACTAGACAGACAGACACACACACACACAGGGCTTGAAAAAGCCGCTTGTCCTCTCGTCTGTGACCGACTCTCGACTGTGACTCTCGTCGAGTAACTTCCCGGCCGGCCATTGTAATTAAACGGCCGACTGGGAGCTTTACATTCAAGCGATTGGGCATCTCTAGAGACACCTGATCGCTTATATTAGCAGCTGCCAATGCCAGTCCGGAGACCCGCTGTGCCCGATGCAGCCAGGACTGGTACGGCTGCTCTGTGACCAAAGATCAAAGGGAGATTGGTACACGATCTCCCTCTGATCTCCTCTCCAGTCCCCAAATGCAGGAAGAGATGTATATTACATCACTTCCGCATTCCTCTGTCACTCTCCAGCTTTAGAAGCTGGGGAAGTAGATCTCTGCTTCATCAGCTTCTCTGGGGGTCCCTAGGTTACATTAGGGGTCTGGGAGACCTCTAATGTCTACATAAAGAGGACCTGTCATGTAAATTGGCTATCACATAGGGGGATTTTTAGCCCTCCATGTGATAGCAATAAAGTTAAGTGGGGAAAAAAAATTGTAATAAGAAAATACTTTTAAAGTACCCCTCTCCCCACATACACACACAAACACTCGTCGAGTGCGCCTATTGTGCCGCACATGTTATATATCGATGCGAACGTCGGAGTGAGTAATAATTCTTGCGCCACTAATCACTGATAACACTAAACTGATGAGCAATAAAAGCGTTTAAAGCGTCACCTATGGCCAATTTTGGTGTTATCGTTTTTGTGATTTTGCGGGCACGTGCAGGGGCGTAACTAGAAATCACAGGGCCCCAGAAATCACAGGGCCCTAGTTATAACCCTTGCAGAGCCCACTCGAGATCCCACCTGAGGGTGACCCTGCAGAGCCCACCAGAGACTCTCTATGGTGGGCTCTGCAGGGTCTCCAGCCGCCAGTGAAAGCCACCAGCAGAGGATCGCATAGCGACCCATGCGGCCCGCATGGCATCTGGCCAGGCCCCACTGTGCCCCGGGCCCCACAGCGACCACCTGGGTCGCTATGGTGATTGTTACGCCACTGGGCACGTGCAATTTTAAGGCTTGACATGTTTGGTGTCTATTTACCCGACGTGACCGCGTCTCTTGTAGAGAAAATTTTTCTTTTTTCCAGGCTATAATCCGGTCATGCTGAGTGGCGAGGCACGCTAACATTTTTCAAGCCCAGTACACACACCACACACAAAAACAGAATATACGCAATGATACATATCTATGCGCACACACACATTCCTTATAACTTATTTATATATTGTATATCAAAGGAGTTTTTGATGTTCTTATTTGCATACATGTGGTAAATCATTAAGTAGAACAATTTAATGATAAGCATGCACATTTCAGATTGTGGAGATTCAGACAGACGGTCATAGCAGATGGGGCTTTTCTAGTGTATCATTTTGAGTAGATTTTAGGTGCTTTTGTTACAATTTAATGCTGTGGCTAATTATCTTTGAGGGGGTATACTACAGCGTATCAAAAGGCACACAAGCTTCTTCTGTATTATGATTACTATAATTTGTTAATTTTGTGATGATTTTGTATTTCCTCTTAATTGTACCCTGCTGCACTCTAAACAACGCATGTGAATATATTAGAACTGTACAGTTTCAACAAAGATCTTCATCAATAGTCTTTGTAGAAAAAACATCTACTATTAATTGCACCATCTGAGTAGGTCCAAACTCAATACATGGAATTTCATGAGAAATGTAAATTACAATCCCCTGCACTCATATTACTGTTCTAGTTAGCTTCTAGCCGTGAAGAAAAGTTAATATTTTACTTATTATAAATGCAGCATTTCGTGGAAACTAGCTTGTGTGTGTATATAAAGAAGCAAACAGTTTAAGAGAATAAACAATTCTACATTTAAATAAAACCCGGGATGTTTTCCACTTAAATTATTTGAAGAGTTAAGACTCATTTACCCTACAGGACAGCATTAACATTGGATTAACATGCTGCCATGTGTTTTTTGAAAGACTATCTGAATTGAATGGCAAATTTCCAGTCAACACACCCAAAATATACCATGCAGGTCCTTCCAACACAAATATAATGGTGTGATAAGACTCTACTGAACACTACTGAATTTCTATGTCCTGGAAAATGCAGCAACATTCTTGATAATACATTGGATGGGAGCAAGCGCTTAATGACCTTGTCATTTATTAGCATTATACTTTTTTGACCTCTATTCTTCCTGATTCAATGGCAATAATCTCGCTTTTCTTGTAATGAGACATGACATCACTAATGTGGTAAAACACTTCTAACAGACTTGTCAGTGCGACAGGTTTACAAGCCTTTAATCAATAGTTATTTGGTATGGGTCATATTGGACACTGAAAAGGGCTCCAGTGAAGGCAGAAGCATCTAGTGGTTAATCAACAAATCTCTACATTTAATTAGCCAGGAAGCCAGGCTGCCTAGAAACAAGTGAAGCGGCTTCCTAGCCAATCAGGAAGCCGGGCGGCACATCCTGACCTGCCTCCCTCATTGGCTAGGAAGCCAGCTCCATGCTCCCTCCGGTATCAAAGCCATTGGGAGAGTACGAGTACTCGCCCAAATAGTTGGCATCGGCACCGATCCTAGTATCGGTGCATCCCTATTTAATACTGTGGGGAAAAAAAAACATAAGAGCAACCAAGTAAAATAGCAAAGGTCACAGCAAAACTACTAAAATACTCAAAATATGTGCTCACTTAAAATACCTTAGAGCTTCCTTTTAAAGACAAAATAAACATGTATTTTAATGAGCTAAATACTTATAGGCCTCATTCTCACAGGCAACGAGGGCCGTACATCCCCAAGAATTTGTGAATTTATGTGGTTTGTGATCTTCTGTAAATCTCGTCTGCAGGAATAGGCCGATTCCTGGTGGTGTACAGCCCTCGTTGCACAAAGGAATGAGCCCTAAAAAGTGTGTAAAGTCTTATAGCTCCTGTTCTTTAGAAAGCAGCCACATTGAGTAAAAAAGCCTGTCCCCTACCAGCATGCAGCAGAGAAAGATCCTTTCTCTCCGTGTGGAAGCAGTAGTCCCTTTGCTGAAGTCTGACATACCCTTGGCTGGCTCAGAGTTGGAACTCTCCAATTAGCAGAGAGCATGGGCACTCTGAAAAACAAGTCCACTCCCCTCTACCATATAATGAGGTTTGAAAATACAGCTTGCCGTGGACAAAACAGAAGGTGATCCTACTGTTCCGTCATTACATGTATGGGGGGGCCAACTTTGGCCTAACCATTTTTCAATGTCATTATGTTTTTTTACAGTTTTCCCTTAGAGTGGGCCAAGAACTTCCTTGGCAGTGGAAATGTGCATTAAAGAAAAAAAACAACTACCATGACACACCTAACTTGCTCAAAAAAATTCCAGTGCAATTTCAGGAAGACAACTTCCTTTACCTCAGGGGAAAAAAAAAAAAGAAGTGCCTGGCACTATAAACAAGGAATTTACATAATCCTGTAAAAGCAGGCAATAAAATGTGCTTGTAAATACTTTTAGCAGCCAGCAAAATGTTTTCTGTGTGTGATCAGGGAACAGGAATCAGGCACACACTGCACCCAACCTACTACGTAATAAGGGCACTTTAACAGCCAACAGAAAGACACCTGCACAGCATTGTGGGAGGTTGGCGGATCATGAATTCCCGTGAAAATCTCATTGAATTCCCGTGAAAATAACTTTTTTGAAAGTATCCCTACCCTGTCGTGTTATCTTTGTGAATTGAGCCTGTTTTGTAGTCCAATCTGACCAAAAACTTTAGTTTAGTTACTGAAGGCAGATCTCGAAGTAAAACTAATTACCAATTTTGCCTTAGAAATACAGTAAGTTGCCAATTCTGTTTTTCTAAATGTGAAGGCCCCAGGCTGTCATCACCTAGCGAGTCAAAGCACTGGCACAAGCATTCATGCAGTGAACTGTAAAAGTCAAAACTTACACTGTACATACTACTTGCAGGTCATGGACTTACTAGATCAATACAGACCCCCAAAGGGCCAATGGGACGGGCCAATGGGACTAGCCAAGGGGTTAGTAAAATGGCTGGGAGTCAAAAGCGTCAGTTAATGTTTTCAGATGTCTCTGTAGAGCTCCACGCCTGCTCCTAGCACTGAAGGTTAGTGAACTAGTGGAGGGAAAGAATTACCAAGGTTTGTATGGTCAGCCACCAGCACAGCGCTGGAGAGGAGTTCCCCAACATGGGCAGTGGAAAAAAGTCAGTATTTGTCTTCTTTACACAAGAGAGCATTTGCAGAGTACCCTCTGTTGAGCAACATGGTCCAACTAAGATAAAATACACTCTTGTACAGTCTCTTTGAAAAACGTTAATATACTTTGGAAATACGTTATGTATTTGTATACATTACATAGATAATATGCGTATATAATTACCTTTCTCTTGGCCTGCTCCTTGTCAGGTTTATGCGAATGCTTCTTCTCAGTTTTCTCCTTGTTCTTACTGTGAGATTCGTGACTGCTAACATTTTTACTCTTTGACTCATTTATTTTCCCAGATGATCCTGGGATCCTAGACAGCAATGACAGCTGAATTTTGACAACAAGGGTAAGAGGTTTATGACTATTCTTGATAGGTGGCAGCAATCTGCTGTCCCCTATTGGTAATAACACTTTGTCCCTGTGCGAGTCCTCACGAACAACAACTGCAGGGTGAGTTATGTTAGTCCTATGATTGGCTTTGCTTTGACTCTGCTCCTTTGGAACAGAGGGACACTGCGGGAGTGATGAGGCACTCTGGTTTTTATCGGTTTGAGTGCTTGGACACTTTTTGGTGCTGCTACTATGGTGAGAACTTCTGTGCTTCTTATTTTCACTACTATGTGCAACAATTGTAATTGGTTCCTTACAGTCATTTGGTTTGGATTTAACTTTCGTTTTCACAGTTGGCCTTTCTTTGGAAGGCTGGTCTCTTGGCCTGTATGGTTGTGGCTCACTTTCAACAGTAAGACCTCCCTTTGGCTCCTTCTGAAATGAGGCCTTGACAGGTCTCCTTGGCTGTTTTATGCCCACAGTCTGCCTGGGAGGAACAGTTTCATTGGCTATAGGGGAGATCGGAAAACTCGGGTTGTTCTGGATATCTTCATGAGAAGTCCAAATAACCTCTTCAGGGTGAGGCTCAACAGTCTTTGGAGATTCATGAAGAGGAGATGAAAGGCAGTCATGTTCTTTACTCTCCCAGTTTTCTTGTTCATGATCCACAGTGTTATGTTGGTTCTCAGCAAGTGCCGCAGGCTTGACCATGAAGTTCACCAACTGCCAGTCAGATGACTGAGCGTCATGCTGTAACAAAATAGGTGACAAATTCAGGAGAAAAAAAAAGTAAGTATGTAAGCCATATAAAAGAGAGCTCAGAGTAAAATCTATCAAATGGAAATCACAGCCTTATTGCACATAGAATTGTCTAATGTAACACATTGGGAATAGGTTGTGAGACTTGTTGTTGGCTATCTGACACATAGGAGGTTGCCTAGACCATTTATTCCAATATTTTGGGTCTTGCAGTTTGCCATTAATTGTACACGGACACACTGGTCTCATCATTCTTACTTGACCAAAAATACAGTGAGCTAGTGTATAATGCAAAATCAACAAGGTTACTGAATAACTCCACTATTACAGAACACAGCTTGCTGTGCCCCTGCACCATTCAGTCTCACTGCCTGGTTTTTGCAAAAATCATTTTGTCGGGAAGCTAACGCAGAACAAATAAACTGACAGTGGGCCTGGGCTCACTAGTTCGGTTTCATTCGCATGGATGGACTTTCTATGCTCATTATGTTGACTCAGCCTGGAGTTTTCTCACTCAGGAAATGAAACCAATAAAAAAAAGAGTGGATAGGTTCTAAACTAAAATCGAGAAAAAGTAAAAGCAAACATGCTTCAAAAACAAAGTATTAACATGTTTTAGACAGGTCTATTTTTGGTTTACTGGTTAAACTGTACTTAAACTCCAACTCAGTTCTCTTTTTTTTGTTATATCTGTTCCATAAATGCAAAAAAAGAATTGTTTATCCTGCCAGAAATCTAGTTAGTTCAAAAGTTCCTTTTTGCCTGTACTAGGCTGACAACACTGCTCCTTCACAGTACACTGAGTGAGCGTCGTCACCCTAGGACAGAAGGACAGTACATTTTGGTTCTTGGGTTTCAATACACATTGGTATGATCCTCCTCCAGTTTGAATTTTATTGCATTATTTTGAGACCAATGGAATCAGAAAAAACCTGTAACGCCTAAAAGAGTAGAAGTTCATTTAACTCCTACTTCTATAAAAACACAAAATCTGCAGAAGATGCAGTACCAGGAAACGATATATGCATTTGGTAGTTTTCCATATTTGAAATCTCTTTTTTATTTCAGAGGCCTTTATCTATATTTTTTTCCACATTTGATTATGGAACACAGTCATCTTTTAGGTCATCAAAAATAGGCCCATGACTACTGGGCTTTTTCTGCCTACCCTTTGCTCTGTTTTTAACCAGGACAAAGACATTGTCTGGCAACAGACAGAAGATGTCTTACTTAAATGATGGGTGATGAGGAAGTGGCACACACATTGTTGACACTTCAGTACTTTCATATCAAGGGTAAAGACTGGCATGGCCCAACTCTTTAATATATAATAGCTGTCTGGCTTTGTCACATGTACTTAATAAATAAGGTGGGCTTTTTTTTTTATTTGGACCTCTACTGGTAGTGACTGCTATTGTTTATCTACAACTGAATAGAGCTAAAGACATCTTTGTTTTACACTGAAACACACCTCTGCTTTTTCCACATCATCTCAATGTGGTTTTTAAGACACCAGGGACGAATAGTGTCCAAGCAGCCTGTCAATTTATTTATTTTTTTTAAACGGCAAAAGCCCATGGGGTAGGAAAAATAACACTATTGTACTCCAGAGTAGATACTTCTTCATGCAAGCAAAGGCTGAACTATATGAAGAGATCCAATAAGAGCAGAACATCAGGAAGTCAAGTGTGACATATTTTGCACATTACCGTATTCTGTTCACTATCACTTGAGCCAGTATCACTCTCTGTGTCTGAAGAGCTGTCGGTCTCACTCCCCTCGGTTTCCACACTGCCGGAATGTGCCGAGACCACGCTGTCCACCTGTGATAGCACAACACTGCCAAACAAGACACATTGGACAAACTGTTACTGGGGACTTAAAATCTTTATTTACAAGTATTTGAACATTTATATAGTCCATAACAGCAAGTGTCAGTGATAGGCCATCAGCAAGGCACATTGATCAGAACCAAGATGTATTCATGGCAACTAAGGGTTAAAAAAAAAAAAAAAAAAAAAAAAAAAAAAAAATCCCCACAGGTATACTTTAGGGAAAACACATCAGCCAACTGAAATAATGAAAAGTCAAAAGTTCTGTCTAAAAGTAGTCACCACAAGGTGCCTCCTCTTACGAGCTAGCATGAAAACCCTCTGCTGGATGTCAATCTGCTATTAGTTATGAAATTGCTGAGTGCCTAACTTCCCTCTTAGCCACCATCTTCCAATAGGGGCAATGTTACTGACCACTTAAGATGCTCTCATTGGACAGGGAGATGGCAAGGTTCTGTTTAATGCCATGCACAGTGCAAGAAAACTGGGTAAAAGGTTTACACGCTACAAAAATACCTTGTTTGCTTACGTATCGTTTACACAGCTGTTATGAGCAGTAAATCTCAGGTGCAGTTATCACAAACTTTTACAACATACAGTTTACAGCATATAAAATCCCTAACTCATTAGGGGGTTGTGTCAACAATATCAGTTTGAGACTCTTCTGAGATCATTCAGAATTCACTTGCAGGTGCATTTGACCTGCAGTTGTCCTCCTCCTGCACTAGAACTGCTTCAAGGGGACTTGCATTCCCAAAGAATTGTATGTGAATGATGCAAAACCAGTCTTTTGCCCATTAGCACATGCCCCAAAACTTTTTTTTGTAAGCTCGGGGGGACCCAAAAAAGACTGTTAAAACATTTTATTGCCTTTATAGATACAACTCAATGTAAAAGTTATTTAAATAATTAGCTCAACTCTAGTGAAGAATCTATATTTAGTTTAAGATAGATTGGAGAGAGGTTAGGACAGCGGTCACATTTTAATGGTCATCTGCGACCCCACTGTGGGATGTAGGAGTGCATGTTTAATGCTTTCAGAAGCCCAGGTGAGATTTTACATGCATCTCTACCGGCACAAAACTGTTTATGTACACAAACAAACGATAATCAATGATGAGTTACATAAAACAAATTTAAAATCCCTAACATAACCTATAAACATCTGCTAATACAACTCATTCCTTTTAAGGCCAGCTACCCCCAGTAGTGTCACCTTCTCCGACACATGAGTCACTGTCTGGTACAGCATGTTAAGAAGTATTTAGTTTCCGCAGTGACAGGGAGCCAGGAGATCTTTTGAAAAGGCTTCAACACGGACTCAAATGACTTACAAAACTTTATGTCCAAAAGCATTTGTAAGCTTTTTCTTTGGCTTAAATATTAAAAAGATAAAAGAAGCAGAAGGAACATGGTTCCAAACAGGTTACTTTTCTAGAGACCAATTTTCACATGACATAGAAGGAAACTCTTAAAATTGCAATGCAAATTTGAACACGGATGTACAGTTCGGATGCGCATATGACAGCGTATGGCCGCGTCTTCCCATAGGAAGAGCAGGCTGCTCCCGGGAACGATTAGATACGGGTATGCACGCTGCACAGTCATGTACACCCCGAGTTAGCCCAGTGTGAATGAGGCTTAAAAGGATGCCGGGAAGGAGGCTACTGATATGGAGCAAATTTTATCCGCTCTGTAAAGAACCAAACAAAATTTGCTTTGTGTACGGCCAGCTTTACAAGGGTCTTGATAGTAACTAGTGTTTTTTCCCAGCAGACCATATACATGAGGAGCTAGAGGAGAGAGAATTATACAGAAGTGATTATAGCCCCAAATCCTTATAGGATTGGTTAAAAACTATGGTGACAAACAATCAAATCAAAACATTACTAATCCATGTGTGGATTACAGAACAGAATGTGGCAAGAAAATAACAGCAGTACCTTGATGGAGCAGATGAGGAAAGTGGCTTCTCTGTAACCTGCAAAAACAAATATATGATAATTGAAGTTTGTTTTATCAAATAAAATGTAACACATCACAAAATTACATTTATAATAACTATATAAATAGGAGTAGTAACATACCTCCTCCTCTTCTCCATCACTGTTCTCGCTATCGCTGAGCTGGAGATCATCTTCCAACATGCTAAAGCCAAAAAATAGGTTTGATAAGGCTCAGCCAGCACTAACTACTGTATATAAATCACCACAGAAAACACTATATTAATTCAGGGGTGAACAAATTAATATGGAATATAGGAGCCAGTCTGTCCAATCCAGGGGACAGCAGGAATTTTTTTTAGAAGTCAGTAAAACCGACAACTACCAGAGAAAACCTAAAAAGGCTACAGCTATCATTTTAAGGAGCATTCGCTACCTGGCTCCTGGGATTTGTCCAGCCATGTATTAATGGTAAGGTAAAGATTGTCACTGCAACTACCAAAACAGATATTGCTGAAAGAAAACAATACTGAAAAGAATTTGCACTGGAGTGAAAACTTGCAGTGGATTAAAATCTATTGACCTCCAATGCTATTTTTTTCAGCTACACTGCAGTGATTATTTGATCCCTCTGTTACAGAAATAACATATACCAAGCACATTGATTCACTGGATGCAACATATTATTGATGTAGAATGTTAAAACATCTTGAGGTTCAGTTATCAGCCGTTATTACTCAAATGGTAGGACACCATTTCTCAATAGCAGCATTGATATTTTCCACTGTAGCCAGAATGGCCATCATGCGGAGAACTTAAAGCGGACCTTTGACTAGAAATTACATCAGCATACAGCTCTACATGCCCATATGAAATTATGTCACATTCATTAACTAAACAAACACATTTTTTATTTTACTTACAATTTCTTTTTTTCTGACTTCCTGGTACACTTTGGCACAAAATGATGTAATGTGCCCAAGCATTGCATTCTGGGAAGGCTACATCAGCAGACCATTGCTGGGAAATCTCATCAAGGGAGATCTAGTAATCTGACTGCTCTGGAACGGTGGTGTAAACCGGTCTCATAGATACTCCTCAGATTTACTTTACAGTAAACCAGTCCCGTAAACTAAATCCTGGAGTAAACCTTACCTGGAGGAGCTTTTACTAGTACAGCAAAAATCTTTTCATGGTTTCACCTGGTTTTGAATAGGTTTCAAGTAGGGATCCACCAACATTTGGATGGAAACATATCAGCCGAAAACAGCACTTTTGGCAAAATGCTGAATGTACCTTTTTTTCGCCAAAATAGCATTGCATCCATGCTTTCTCTCCTCCCCTGCTTGGCGCTGCTCTGTGTCCCAACGGGGAGGAGAGAAAATGTCACATGCGGCCGAGCGGTGCGGGAGGAGAGCGCTGTGAGCGGCCGGTGTCACAGATCAGGAGAGTGGTGTGTGGGCGGAGACAGCTCTCAAAGCTGTCACCGGCCGTCGGCCAGTGGTGCGGGAGAGGAGTCAGCTGTCAGATCGAGATCTCCTCCCCGCACCGCTTGCTCAGCCTCCTGTGACAGCTGTCAGGAAGGAGAGCGAGTACAAACACTCAGTGATCGTTGAGTGTTTGTAAATAATTGAAGACAGAGTAGGTTCACTGTGTCCTCAATTATGAATGAATGGGAAGTGATCTACATCACCTCCTGTTCATTCATAATTGTAGATATAGTAAGCACACTATTTCCACAAATTATGAATGAACAGGAACACTCAGTATAGAGGATCCCTGTTCATTCAGAACAGGGGCTGCAGAAAAAGAGATTAAAAATAACATCCCAACTTTATAACAAGCATGCGCAAGGACATGAGAACACTGCAACCTGGAGGGCTATATTATGCAAACACCAACTTAATGTGGATATGAACTCAAAAAGTGAAGATATACTATGTTACAGAGAACATTTAGAATTGTTAATAGTGTCTCAGCAGTTCTCATAAATATACATTTTGTCTTAAATTCCTCCTTAAAAATATCAGTGTGTTTCCTGGCATGCGAGTGTACTTAGGCACTCCTCTGCCCCAGTCTCATAGCTGTATATATCTGCACTGTGCCTTTCATTGCTAGTCTCAAGGTATTTGGAGAAAGATTTGGTGAATGCACTACTGTGTCGCTCACTCAGCTAGTTTCTGCTGGAGCAAAGAGAGCAGCAACCAAGATAGCCAATTTAAGTGAGCAGTTGTAAGGAGTAACGCCCAGTTTTTCTTTAGGTAATCGTACGATAATCGCGGGAAATCCCGCGATCGTACGATTATCGTAAGGTGTGTGGAAGCCGTGCGACCTCTACTACTGTAAGGTTGCACGACTTTTAACTTAAGGCCATGTTTGAAAACCCGCCGAGCATCGTACGATGTTCGGCGGGTTTGTGGCATGTTCGTACGATAAAAGCCGTACGGGCCAGTGTGCGCAAGCGCACACTGGCCGTTCGGCATTGCGGTCATCGGAAGCCCGCCCCTCAGGGGGCGTGGCTTGCGATCGCAAGTACGATCTGCCTATGCAAGATAGGCAGATCGTACGTTTTTTTAAGTACCTTACAACCATCGCAAGACAAAAGTCTTGCGATGGTTGTAAGGTGTGTGCCCAGCCTTAGATTAATCGAGCGCAAAAGCCCCTGTAGATAAAATACTGGTGATTTGCCCTCACTCCGATTTTATTGGGGCATAGCTGCAAACGTATAATTCGGTTAGGCTAGGAAGTCAACATTTTGTGTTGGCACAGTAGACAGAAGGGAAAAAGCCAAAGTGGCAACTCCTGGGGTTGGCATAGTCAAGCATCCCTAGTTTTAGGGTACAGAGGCCTCTCTGGAAAACGTCTGCAGGCACCTATCATCTTATTAAGATTAAAGGAGAACTATGAGGTGAGTGAAAATCACTCAGCCTCATAGTTCTAGCCGACCTGTGACAATTAAACTGCCACAGGTCGGCTCAATAGATCGGGAAGTGAGTGAACACATACCGTCTAGATAGGCAGAGCCAGCTGTCAATCCAGCAAGCTGGGTGGATCTCAACAGTAATGTCATGTAGTCTCCATAGTTACTATCCAAAATATTGACTACATAGCAATTATTGTGCTGACTTTCCTTTAATCAGGACAAGTATTTCACAACTGGTCATTTCCTAAAAGGATCTGGAAGGTCAGCTCTATAAATAAATGTGACTGATTTAATTGTCACCTTCATCAGTGTCATCACAAGGCATTATTAGTGTACCACATAATTAAATTTATATTTAGCTATATTTATGCAGAAAAATAGTACAGACCATGTGGAATTTTAAACATGAACTACATCTTTTGTTCAGAAACATAAACCTTACAACAGTTGTTACACCAAGCGGCATCTTTTATAAGGCTCCAACTTAAATCTTTAAAAAGGAACTATACCCATATCCTTAAATTAACAACAAAGACACCTTTAGAAATGTTTAATAATGGCAACCTACAAACACATTACTTCTAGATAATTGCAGGCTTAGTATTCTTTGTAGGGATGCACCGATACTTTTCGAGTACTTGTGCCGATACTTGGCATTTTCATGAGAACTACCAGGGTTGCAGCTGGGACCTGGCTCTGGCGTTCCACCACTGTCCTGAAAATCATTCGTCTGTATTTTTTAGGAAAACTGTCACATGACAATAAACAAAAATATCAATCAGTTCTTCTACTTGGGCAGGTATCAGCACTCGTAAAACTGGTATCGGTGCATCCCTTTATTTATATTTATAAAATCATACAATAAAACAGATGTACAAATCCCATGTGCTCCTTACAAATGGCAGATGCCTCCTTAACTTTTGAATTTTTCTCTAGTTTAGTCTTGGAGCTCGAAAAGTATCTGTACTTGTACTGAGTACGGTACTTGGTATCGGTGAATCCCTAATTCTTTGCATACCTTATTTCTCTTTTCTTTCTCAGTCTTCTGGCAGTGGCCATGTTAACCAAGGGCAGATTACTAGATCTCCATTTACTTCCTGAAACTCTGGAACATGTGACCATGTACATCATCTCAGGGGAGGAAAATGCCTTTCCAGATGAGATTTCCCAGCAATGCTCTCCTTATGTAACCTTCCCAGGATGCAACACTTTGGCACATAGATCATTTGTGCCAGAACTGGACCAGGAAGTAGATGAACTTGATTTGTAAGTAAATGAAAAACAAGGTTTGTTTAACTAATGAATGCAAGATGATTTTAAATCAGCACGCAGAGCTGCATGCTGCTGTGATTTTTAGTGAAAGAGGTTAAAGGGCCACTTTAACTACGTAGATCAAGATCATTGTATACATGGTATCTGTGGTTCCTCATTTTATAAAGTAAAAGTTTTAAGGCACATTTATCTTTTTGTATTGTGGTAATGCATGTTTACCAAATTGGCTTCCAACGGTATCATGTAACTCCAAGGGCCATCATCCTTTCCTTCATTAGAAACAAATTCCTAGCAGTTTCTATTGGTTTTGTGAACATGCATCTAATAATATCATACATATCTACTTACGATGATCCCTTTTCTGGGCTTGGCAAGAGTTTTGATGGTGTGTCATATTGTTCTGTAAAAAGGACATGGCAGTGGCCATGTTAACCAAGGGCAGATTACTAGATCTCCATTTACTTCCTGAAACTCTGGAACATGTGACCATGTACATCATCTCAGGGGAGGAAAATGCCTTTCCAGATGAGATTTCCCAGCAATGCTCTCCTTATGTAACCTTCCCAGGATGCAACACTTTGGCACATAGATCATTTGTGCCAGAACTGGACCAGGAAGTAGATGAACTTGATTTGTAAGTAAATGAAAAACAAGGTTTGTTTAACTAATGAATGCAAGATGATTTTAAATCAGCACGCAGAGCTGCATGCTGCTGTGATTTTTAGTGAAAGAGGTTAAAGGGCCACTTTAACTACGTAGATCAAGATCATTGTATACATGGTATCTGTGGTTCCTCATTTTATAAAGTAAAAGTTTTAAGGCACATTTATCTTTTTGTATTGTGGTAATGCATGTTTACCAAATTGGCTTCCAACGGTATCATGTAACTCCAAGGGCCATCATCCTTTCCTTCATTAGAAACAAATTCCTAGCAGTTTCTATTGGTTTTGTGAACATGCATCTAATAATATCATACATATCTACTTACGATGATCCCTTTTCTGGGCTTGGCAAGAGTTTTGATGGTGTGTCATATTGTTCTGTAAAAAGGACAAGATAAAAAAATACTTTTTTTTTTTTTCCATTGCACTGAACAAGCCCTATCCTATTAGGACAGGGAATAGAAGATACAGTAAAGCAATAGTAAGTTAAAGACATAAACAGTGCAGGCAAAAGGTATTGGTGACCATATGGGGAGCAAGCCTAGAAATATAATAGGCAATAGTACACTGAAAGGCTGCAGCCGACACTGATAAGGGGTGCGAGGATGCGGCAAGTCCAAGAGAATTCACTAAGCAGTCCAAAATATACCTAAAAGAGTAAGATATTTCATACATACATTGAAGTTAGAATTCAGAATTTTTGGCTGCCACTTGTGAAACCCCCAGGGTTTGTTTTACAGGCATGGTAATTGTATCACTTACTCTGCTTTGCTTTGACAGATGGAACTTGCTGACTTTCCTAAATATAAGAAGGAAAAATGTAAAAACTTGTTAGCACCAGGAAGTACACAGAATAGCACATCAGAAACATTTATGTCTTTTCACGGACAGTACAACAATGGTGCAAGAATAATAGTTTCAAGTTCAACTCCAGCCAAAACTTTTTGTTTTTTCGTTTAAGATAGAGCGAAAGAGGATTAGAGCTTCTTTCAGGTTTATACAAGAAGGAAAGGGAAATGTCTTTAATAGGGAGGGACACAGACTAGAACAAGCCCACATTACTAATAGAGCGGAAGAAGGGTAAACAAAGCAAACAAAATAATTATTTGGCTGAAGTTAACCTATCAGAAGAGTTTAGGTTACATGCGTCCAACCCAACTGTAATGGTCACCAAGCAAAGCACTTCTCTGTCTTACTGTAAAATACCCAACATGCTATAAGCGGTCACATATTCTCAAACACTACATTAACCACCTGTGGAGCAAGGACATACTAGACACACCCTGTACCACTTCATCCTCAGTGAATCTGTTGTATGCCACAATGCCCCCTACTGTGTGTGCTACCATGCATATTCCCCAGTACCTGCCTGACAGCCAAGATAAACTGGGTGCAAGAGCTGCTGACAGCGGCTCCTACTTTGTGATCACCAACAACTTGCAATAGTGATCACTGATAGAAATAATGTAACTACTTTGTTGCACCGTAATTTTTTTCTTTTAGATTACAGACTTTTCCTGTAATCTGCTGTTACGTCAACTACAAAATCCCACAGTGTGAATATTTTAGTGTTTTTATTCTTGCAGTTTCTACACATTTTTCTTTTAACTGGTGAACATTTATTTTAAAAACTGGGACAGATAAATGACCGATTAATAAGATAATTTTCCAATAACCAAGAACAAACCTTGTTGGTAAATGCAAATTTTGAAGGTTCAGCTGTGCTTGGCGTATGAATAGCTGTTAATGGTGGAGGCCATGAATGTGTCATTTCCTGGGAAACAAAATAAAACATTAATAATCTTTACCAAGATTAGAAATTTTTTAAAACATACATACATACATAAATACATACATACATACATACATACATACATATATATATATATAAGCTCGTGTCCTCATGCTGGAGAAATGAGCAGGACTGCATTGGCCTGGCCCATCCAAAAGCTAGGCTGAGGGTCCAGCTGAAGCTTACAAAAAGTTTAGTTGCTGGTAGTGCATGGATTTTTTAGTTGAATTAAACAGTTCTCATTTTCATACATTATATATTCAGCCACAGAATACTATAGTTGTTTTATTTTTTATTATTAAAAGTACAACACATACCTTCAAAATTTCTTCAACACAATGGGCTTCATTTGTGAAGGTCTGAAATAAAACAAATTAGCATTAAGCAAATACCCAGTGTTAATGTACAACTGTAAGTAAACACAAAAAAAGGCAAAACATGCACATTAATTCTCCAAGTAAACTGGTTACCCTGGTGTATTTACAGGTGGACCAGAAGTCGCACATAATATCTAGATGTTAAAGGAAAAATCATCTGAATTTCTAAGACACCTCAAGTTTGATTCAGTGCAAACCAATGTTCAGGATCCGATCACCAAAAAAGAGCCCTACCTATTCAGGCCTTGTTCACACCGAAAGAGTGTGCGTTAAAGAGCAGTAGCTGCTGGAACGCACTGCGATCGCTAAGAAACTTCTTCCCGCGTTTTGGGGTGGGAGAGGGCATGGCGGGGCATTGAATTCAATGGCACCGCTTCCACGCCCCCTGCCCGCAGTGTGATCGAAGGCGTGGCAAAACTTTGCCAGCGTTCCGTTCCACTGCAAGCTCAAAAAATAGGGCTTGCTCTATTTTTTGCGTTTGCAGTGGAACGCAACGCAAAAGCTACCTAAAAGCAGCTACCGCTCTGGAACGCACACGCTTTCGGCGTGAACAAGCCCTCAAGTGTCTGAGAGAATACCGTTCTCCATCACCCTTGGCTAATCCTAAAGTGACAATAAACAAACATTCAGGTACCTTATTAGCAAGAATGTAGCTTTTTTGTGTATCCTTCGGCTGTAAATTGTTACATCAAGCCTGAGCATGCCGACACGGTCCTTCCTTCTGGAGGGTGGCTACATTAACTCCCCCTGGTCCCTGTGAGTGTTGTGTGCTCCAAGCTCACTCTCGTGATAGATAATTTCAATACAAATTAGTAAACTAAATGTGAGATTGTGGTCCATCATCACAGGAGCGAGCTTGGAGCGGTGACTACTTTACAACACACACAGGGACCATGGTGAACAAAAGTAGCCACCCGCCAGAAGGAAGCACAGTGTCAGCACCAATTCAAAGATTATTTGGAGGATCTAGAGCTGAGTGATACACAAATAAGATACAGTTTTGTTAATAGTGAAGGTTTGAATTGTACTTAAATTTAACTCCTGAGTTTAGGGCCACTTTAACCTTTCCTTCCCTAAGCAAAGAGAGCCCCTTCAGCTGTCGCACACACTTCCTCTTTCCTCAAAACGTGAGATGTAAGCAAACTGCATATAGTTTTGCAAATTTCAACATTTTACCAAAAGTCAACAGCTAACCCACTTATATGTGTGGCAGCCCGACTTCACCTTCTAGATTATTTTTCTAATGACTACCTTTCAACAATTTTTCCACTAGGTTGCCTTTCCAAACTCACATCACCCAATATAAACCTACACTGCAGGAAAAAAAAAAAAAAAAAACAAGAAACTAGTTGGCCTTGCAATATCAACATCGTTAGTCTTAAAAGTATTACTGATCTATTATTCAAAATATTGATTCCAAAACAAAACCTAACTCATCAGTCTAATAAATGCCAACTAATTACAGTTACAGGCTTTGAGCATTCTTCCCTGAAAATACTTCGCCCTAGAAGCAATGCTGGTTATAACTGATCAACTGTTAAAAAACCAAATTTTGTTTTTGAAATGTATTCATTTATAGTGGTTGTGAACAATGCCAGGGAAACACTTATTGATGCTCGTCAATAAAGACCAGCCTCTTAAATAGTCAAAGTGTCAAATAGTTCTCTATATGCCACATGTATAAAAATTTAATGTAATCTAAAGTTAAAGACTTTGCCTTTGATGCACAGAAAAAACAATTTTCACTAGTCAAAACATTGACCCTGACAAGATTTTTACAACCACAAGACCTTTTAAATCGATACATGAACGAACACGATCCCAACTAACACGCCCTATTTGACTCTGTGCTGTCAAAGGATGCTTTGTGTGTATGGAACATAGAAGGTGAACATGGTATTTGGATCTCTACTGCAAAAATCACAGGACAACTAAAAAATGGCTGAAATTCAGCCCGGTGAGGTTTTCACACTAGTTCATACACCTTGAGCCAAGATCGCGCAAGCCTAACTTAGCAAACCACTGTGGTGCGTGTCAAAAATATAATCCACATTGCTGCCAATACTTTATATAAGACAGGACCATTTCAGCATGAGGAACATGTTCTGGTTTACTATTTACAGGTCAGTAAATGCTTGTGATGGGTGTTCATTCTCCAGCCTACAGTAGTACAGAGTTAACTTAAAAACCACTAGTACAAATAGTATGTCCTATTACTATACAGAAGAAACTGTAATTGTGACATAACTTCATATATCAGGAGAGAAAGGTATTACTTTGCAAAAGTATAACCACAACCCTGTTTGTACCCCACCATCCAATGTCTGCTACAAGTCACTGGCATATTATGTAATTTTTCCAGCAGGTATCGCTATCCCTGGGCAGTGTTTGAGGCAGAATAAGCATTGCACGCTATTTTTACAGCAACACATTTCCTGAGCAGAAGTACGTGAAATGAGTGACCAACACCAACATATGTTATGCAACAATGTAAATGTGTAAAGCTCTTTTTACTGAATGCTCTGCCTTTCCCAAAATAAAGTCATATCACAGAAAATGTAGAAAACTCAAACAAATACTCATCACTTGAATTATACTTCAGTACAGACAGAAATAAAACCCAACTGCACAACCACTCCATATTAATATGGTAATGTCAAAATCCACTGAATGAATTATAAAAACATGATCAGGAAACTAAAGACAAACATATCATGTTGCCTTTTTGTTGCACACGCAAAAGACAGATTTACAACTCTATACTACAAGAACACTGGTATGTAATGCAAAAAAAAATTTGTGGGATTTGTTTACAGCATAGAAAACCAAGATGTAAAACTCAGCCTTATCCGTGAGCATTACATTCCATCACAACTGATCGGTGGTACACATGGGGTAACCACTTAGATTTGGTTTAACATAAGATGATGGGCAGCAGGAAACTATGGGGTTTCATCTGTCAAATGTTTTAAAAATGCTTATTTAAAAAAAAACCATAAAACATTGTACTGGATGCAGTACTTCCCTTTAATCTGGAATTGCCCCCACACAATAGCCCCTCTTTACCACAAGATGGTACTTTTCAGTGTTCCGGCAGAATAAAGATATTCAGGCTTATTCACAAAAGGGTGAAGAGTTTGGAGAAGGCAGGAGAAGTGAACAATCTAGGACAACATAGCTGAACTGGAAAGTGAGTTGAATTGGAGAAGTGTTCCAGTCCAGCTAAATTGTCCTAGATTATTCACTTCTCCAGCCTTCTCCAAACTCTTCACCCTTTTGTGAATAAGCCTGCTAGCTAACACCATCCCTACTTGGATGGGGTCCCTTCTGAGTCATTCAGCTGACTCAATGTGTCTTCTTGCAGTTGACCCAATGAAACAATAACATTAAATAAAAACTTGTAAATCCAAGTCTTCTTCAAAATCTTTTTGTAAATGACTAACCATTTTGTGTCTAATTCTCACCACAGATCTAACTATAGATCATGTATCTTTGATATTAACAATGAATGTCTACGTGTGTGTGTGTGTGTATAATAAAATAAAAAGAAGTATGATAGATAGATGGATAGATAGATAGATACACACACTGTATATAGCCCACAACATTTTATACTTTGTTAGAAAAGGCTGCTGGGCATACGTTCCTACCTAGTTGCTCATCCCTTACCTGTCTCACCTGATGACGCTGCAGTGACATATGAACAAGCAAAGAAGCTTGTACATAAAATCATAGTCATCCATTTATTGTGTAGACACTATTATACTAACACTTCCCCAGAAACGTATACAGGAAGTCATTTAATTTAACTACTGGTTACACTGACAAGAAAGCACTTGCAGTGCATTCTGTAAATAAAAGGAATTTATTACAGTGACTCAAGTATAAATGTCGCACCATTTCCTAAAACTTGGTTTACAAAAACCGAGCTTATGATATTCCCCCACCCCGCAACTTTTCTATTGAAATCAATAGCATGGCTATCTTCCCACCTTTCCTGCCAGGGCGCTAGGTGTAATCCTGGACTCTGACCTCTAGTTTCAGCCCCACATCCAATCATTGTCTAAACCCTGCTGCCTTCACCTTTGTAACATATACAATATATGCGGCTTCTTAACCAATGAAACCAACAAGCTACTGATTCAGTCCTTTGTCATCTTTCACCTCCACTACTGCAACTTCCTTCTTATTGTCCAACCTCCAATACAGGCTATCCCCCCTTCAGTCTACCATCAATGCTGCTGCAAGATTCATCCACCTAACCAACCACTTAAGTAGGGTATACACGGGTAGATTTTTAAACGAACGTTCGTATAAAATAATACTGTCAGAACGTTTGATACTGGCATCATAAACCTGCTGATTGTCATTCGAAATTTTTAAACTTTTGTTTTTATTTAGCATTCTATTTTGGAATGAATGGAGTTCTCAAATGAAAACCACGTTCACTGGTAAACATTCATTCAAAATCGAGAAAAATTTTCCAAACTGCTCCTTCAAAAAATTTCAGGAACACTTGTCTGTCGATTTATGGATGTTCCAGAAACATGAAATAGGTTCTTAAAGCAAATGTATTTATTTTATGGGGTCAATATGAAATCAAGAACCTGTCAAATCTGTGTCCAAGTTGTCTGAAACACTAAAAAGGTGAGAGAAATTCTGTACAATATCTGATGCTACTAAAAACCAAACATGTGACTTGCACAGTTTACAATAACATCTCTTATGATTCTCCACCTCAACTTGAATTACTGTTTGCATCTAGTTTATCAGCAAACAGTAGTACAGGAACTCTGATTAAGTGATCACTGCTACACATCAAAGCACCTAAATCTGGATAACTAAAAGAAAATACATTCTAAATCTAGGCAGCGATTATGATTCTGGGGACACCCAATGACTTGCCAGACCGATGATCCAATGCCTGAAAAAGCTATCTGATGGTACAAACATGTCATTTGCATTGGGCGAACATGCATGCT